AATATATCATATTGACGAGAACTAAAGAAGGACATGAGAAGGACTAAACTAACTTAAATTTCTCTCTACAGAACTCATGTACACCACAAGTCCTCAATGACATAAGAACAGCCAATGTTCACAACCGACCTATTTAATCTATATAATAGGAATATCTTTAAAACATCTCTGTACATTTATATCTTTCAAGATGAAAAATGTCGTCTTATGCGCAATCTATCTTTATCTATGGTAAATTCCCAGAGTTGATCAGAAAACAACAGTATCTTTCACAGTTTTGATGTATAAAGTGATAACCAGAAAACTCTGAAATAGGAAAACGACTTTTAAGCTCAAGTCATGACTTTAAATGATGAAGCATGGGACACAGCAATTGCGCAGTGTAAAATATTTCACTTATAATAAGTGATTATATATAAGTTTCTAGTAACACTCTTTGCTTTGAGAGACCATCAAATTATTGCTTTAAAATCTCCTATTTACGAGTTTTCTGGTTATCACTGTATTTGAGCACCCTATGCCTGATTATGCTAAGTAGTAAAGTAGGAGGATACAAGTATATATACAAGGATACATGACTCTGTATCTCCGATAGATTAGTGTAGAAAGAGTAGATACTTAAATACGATACTAGTGTCACTGTATATGATGAAACATATACACTTGACACTTCCCCATTACTTATCTCAATCTTGCATGAATACAGGGTTACCCACAAAGAATGAGAAATTTATGACGACCTTAAAACGCTTTAAATAAAACAATTTAAAAGTTGTATTTTAGGTTCTGCCTAAAATATGGTAAACTCATGGTATAATGCTTATTGCAGTAAAGATAAATACCTCCCCTCCTCATCTTTCTACTAAACAATACTTGCTGAGCCCCCTTCAAAGCCAAGGAGAGAAATATTAATATAAAGATTTGTTGGTTTGTAGAATACCCATAATCTGAGAAAATATTTTACTTACAACGAGGTTTTAGTGTATAGAGTGATGATGTACGCTAATCCTTTACTAATTATATAGGCCATCAACTATACCGACAGCGTAATGCATATTTGTTTCTTATAAGTTGATTCTGACCTAACCTATAGTAAATCATTAGTGAACAGTTGTAAGTGTACAGTACAGCTAACTGAGCAAACAGGTAGAGAACTATCATCCCCCCTGGTCCGTACCTATAATATATAAAAATTGGTAAACAGTTGTAAGTTTACAGTACAGCTAACTGAGCACACAGGTAGAGAACTATCATCCCCCCTGGTCCTAACCTATAGAATATCAATATTAGTAAACAGTTGTAAGTGTACAGTACAGCTAACAGACCACACAGGTAGAGAACTATCATCCCCCCTGGTCCTAACCTATAGTAATCAATATTAGCAAACAGTTGTAAGTGTACAGTACTGCTAACTGAGCACACAGGCAGAGAACTATCATCCCCATTGGTTTACTTATCATTTCTTCGAGAAAAGTTTACCGTTAGAAGCAGTTTTAATGTAAAAAAATATTTTGAAATATGAAGTTAAGTAGTAAGTAAGTAATCATTTATTTATGAAAAATAATAAAAACATTGAAAATTAAGTGTTTAAGGAAAAAATATTTGAAAACCTCTAAAAATAAAAGTTGTGGGAGGTTATTTGTATCCAGGTTTAAGTATGCACATAGATCCAGACTGCTAGGTAAAGTTGCGTAAATTTTCTAAACTGGGTCAGCATTAACGCCTTGAACATTTGGTTTTACTTCACAAACCCACTTATACTTATTTGTAGCCTTAGGTATGTACATTTTAGAACTTTTACAGCAATTGTTTTAAGTTTTAGTTTTAAGAAGTATTTGGCAAAACTCTCCTCGACTTCTGCTTGAGAACTTGCAACCTTTGGATGACAGCAAAGTGTTTAACCTAAATGCTTAGATACGTACTTGACAGGATTTTACTGAAGTGTTTATCTTGGAGAACATGATTTTTTTTTATTAAACCTTGTAATGCACATTTTTCTATTTGTTTTGCAAGGTTTAAAATTACAACTTCCTTCCTTGCCTAGCACTAGAACTAGAAACATTAATTATTCTTAAATCTGTAATAATAATAAACTAAAAAAACACCCATTTTTTGCAAGTGATTAACAAACATATTCTGTTTTGTCATGAAGGAAGAATATATAAATGCATATGACCAAAATTTTATTTAAAGAAAAAACAATATTTTTTTAAGTTTTTTCATATGAAGGTAAAACACATTTATAACATTTTAAAAAAGTTTTAAAAGTTTACTTAGAAACACATGAAACTCTTTTATCTATAAAATTTTGATCACTGAAAAATTCAAATATAATATTTACATATTTTTTTTATACATTTATAATATCAAAATATCACAATTAAAGACTCTTCAACTTTAATTTAAACTTTAAACTCATCATACAAGAGGAAACATTGAATTTAGATTGCAGTGCATACAATAAATAGAATTACAGTGTACAAAAAAGAGAAAAGAGTGTCTTTAGATCGCTGTGTACATTAAATAGAAAACAGTATCTTTAGATAACAGTGTACGTTGAATAGAAAAACAGTGTCTTCAGATAGCAGTATTCATTCAAAAGAAAAAGACAGTGTTTTTTAGATCGTAGTGTAAATGAAATAGGAATACAACGTCTTTACATTGAAGTGAACACTGATTAGGAATACAGTGTCTTTAGATCACAGTGTATAACAAATAGGAATACAATGATTTTAGATAGCAGTGTACATTGAATAGAGATAAGTGTTTTAGATCGCAGTGTAAAAGAAATAGAAAATATTGTCTTCAGATCTCAGTTTACGTTGAAAAGAATAAAAGTGGTTTCAGATCGCAATGTACATTGAATAGGGAAAAAAATATTATTAGATTATTAAGAAAACAATTATTATTAGATTGCTGTGTAGAATAAATAGGAATACAGTGTCTTTATATCGTAGTGTATAAGAAATATGAATACAATGTCCTTAGATCACAGTGTTCTTTCAATAGAAATATAATGTCTTAGATCCTAGTGTATAGTAAATTAAAGGTTGCTGTAATATTGTGTACACTTGTCTGCCAGTGTTCACCCTAGGCAATTATAGGCAGGTCAACCAAAAAAATGACGTATATACGCTATGGTATATGATAACTCAATGAAAAATGACGTGTATACGCTATGGAATATGATAACTCAATGAAAATTATGACGTATATACGCTATGGTATAATGATAACTCAATTAAAAATGACGTGTATACGCTATGGTATATGATAACTCAATAAAAAAATGACGTATATACGCTATGGTATAATGATAACTCAATTAAAAATGACGTGTATACGCTATGGTATAATGTTAACTCAATGAAGAATGTATACGCTATATGGTATAATGATAACTCAATAAAGAAGGTATACGCTATGGTATAATGATAACTCTATGAAGAAGTGCCATGTTTACGCTATGGTATGATGATAACTCTATGAAGAAGTGCCATGTATACGCTATGGTATAATGATAACTCTATGTAAAAGTACCATGTATACGCTATGGTTTAATGATAACTCTATGCAGAAGTACCATATGTATACGATATGGTTTAATGATAAATTAATGAAGAAGTACCATGTATACGCTAAGGTATAATGATAAATCAATGAAGAAGTGCCATGTATCCGCTATGGTATATTGATAACTCCATGAAGAAGTGACATGTATACCCTACGGTATAATGATGACTCTATGTAAAAGTACCATGTATACTCTATGGTATAATGATAAATTACTGAAGAAGTACCATGTATACGCTATGGTATAATGATAACTCTATGTAGAAGTACCATATGTATACGCTATGGTTTAATGATAAATTAATGAAGAAGTACGATGTATACGCTAAGGTATAATGATAAATCAATGAAGAAGTACCATGTATACACTATGGTATAATAATAACTCTATGAAAAAGTACCATATGTATACGCTATGGTAAAATGATAAATCAATGAAGAAGTGACACTCATACGCTATGGTATAATTAATGTAAACAAACTTGAGTTTAACCCTGGTCTAGAGATAATTTAAACCTCAGTAAGGTTGTAACAAGCATATTGTTTACTACAGTTACTACATAAGAATAAACCCAATATTTTCCACTCTGTAGTACCCTATATTTTCCACCCTGCATTCTCTATATTTTCCACCCTGTATTCTCTATATTATCCACCCTGTATTCATTATATTATCCACCCTATATTCTCTATATTATCCACCCTGTATTCTCTATATTTTCCACCATGTATTCTCTATATTATCCACCCTGTATTCTCTATATTTCCACCCTGTATTATCTATATTATCCACCCTGTATTCTCTATATTATCCACCCTGTACTCTCCATATTATCCATTCTGTATTCTCTATATTATCCACCATGTATTCTCTATATTTTCCACCCTGTATTCTCTATATTGTCCACACTGTATTATCTATATTATCCACCCTGTATTTTCTATATTATCCACCCTGAATTATCTTTATTTTCCACTCTGTATTATCTATATTTTCCACCCTGTATTCTCTATATTATCCACCCTGCATTCATTATATTATTCACCCTGTATTCTCTATAGTATCCACCTTGTATTCTCTATATTATCCACCCTGTATTCTCTATATTATCCACCCTGTATTCTTTATATTATCCACCCCGTATTTATTATATTATCCACCTTGTATTCTCTATATTATCCACCCTGTATTCTCTATATTATCCACCCTGTATTCTTTATATTATCCACCCCGTATTTATTATATTATCCACCCTGTATTCTCTATATTATTTTACATTGAGATTTCACCACCACCACAAGCTACCTGCATAGAAGGAGTTAGTCACTGCGATATAGTCAGATCATCTCTAGTTTTTATCAACTTAGTTTTAAAAATTATCAAAATTAAACAATTTTTTCTAAATCTATTTTATTGTTCCAGGTTAAAGCAATCCTAAAAAATGAGATTCTTCTGTTGAAAGAGAGTTGAGACGAATGTAAACGAAGAACAAAAACAGATTTTAAAACAATCAGATTAACTTGAAGAATAATTGTGAATTAATTATCAAAATGATACTTTTAAACATCTTCAGTCTTATTCTTCTATCAGCCAGGTATAACTCTTTGTCAAGGGACTGGTCGCTTTACACTACGTTGTACTGAGGAACACAATCATGTTTAACGTCTATATCATTGCATTCTTAGATATGTCTCAAAGCCCAAAAAGATATGTTTGGATAGATATAAGGAATGAAGTGGAATTCTCACAATTTTGTTTACAAATATTGTGTACTGCAGTTTCTGAGAGGAACGTAAATAATGCTCAAAAAAGCTTTGTTTATATTCATCCCAGAAACTGCAGTACACAGATCATGTAAACAAACATATGAATCGCTGATTTCCTAAATTATTCCTTCTTAAAAAATAAAGGTTATTACAGGAAACAAATGTTCAACTAAAGTTAAGATTACAACTTTTTTCGAACAATCAGAAGCGAACAGAATTAAGAAGTTTGTGAATTCGTTTCTTGAATAGCATTTTTTTATCAAAGGAATTTATCTTGCGTGTTTTATAAACTTATTTAAGCGTATACTTTAGGGTTAGCTGTGTTAATAAACGAAATTGGGATTTGGGAGGCCATTTTTAAATAATTCAGCAACTCCTATTGCTTAACTTTTAGCGTATGATTGATTGATTTTCAATTTCATTAGATTTTGTTGTTTTTATTTTAGAATTTCTGAAGGATGCATGATCAAACTACTCCCTGAAGGTATTCAGGTAGAACTTTCTTCAAAACTTTGAAACATATCTAAAGGTTTTTGAGACTTTTGAAGGGTTGAGGGTTTTTTAAATCCAGGAAAAAGAATTAATAGAGCAGGGAAAGCATTTAAGGACACGCACCGCACGCACCTCTGATAATTAACCATTGCTTCATACATTGCGCAAGTCACTTTCTCACGCACCTCTGCCCCTTTAGTAAAAGTAAATACAACCTATATGAAGCATAAAGTCTGACCGCGTCAACCTTGTTGCATCGACTATTCCTGTCCATAGAGCTAGCCACAGTACAAACTTGGACCGGAAAGGTTGACCCGGCTCGGAAATTCAAATGTACTACGGCTGCCCGTGAGGAAGCCTCCGAGTTGTCTTTTGTAATTGTATGTTATTTGTGTAGAGATAGAAAAGCATATGAAAAAGAAATTCAACCATTTTAATGTTTGGGTAAATTTAATGCATGGTTTCAAATATCTGTCGTCTTCATTAATCTAACCATGTATTTAGAATTCGAAACCATGATTGAAATGTCTTGCGTTCCGCTCTCTGTACCCGGTAAACCCTTGTTTAATCAAGGATGACTATAGATATCATTATTTGCATTACGAAAATTGAGTACCGGGTAATTTGAGTGTACACTCTACACATGGCACGATGTGTACAATAACTCCAAATTTCCCTGTACTCCCTTTTAAAGGGAGTGTTTGCAAAAATAAAAGGCTTACGGCGAAAAATAATCGCTTTTGATCGCTATTAATCTTATTTCTATCTGTTGCGTCTATAAGGAGAAAATTGTTAAAAACAACTTAAACTGAAGAATGTAGCGTACATACAAATTCAGAAAGTTGCAATATTCAACTCGGATCGTAAAACAATCTATTGAATTTAAAACAAATCATTCAGATATTACAACCTATATTCATCGAAACGCCGAAATAGTTGGCCGTCAGATGTCTCTCCTCTTGATGCTTTGAATGATTACAAAACGTCGTTTTATGTGCATTGTATATAAAACAAATAACAAATATTATGAAATATCAACTACATACGATTGCGTCGAAAAATAATCAATGACTTAAGATTGTTAAATTGTAATATCTGAATAATTTGTTTGAAATTAAATTGATTATTTTACGATACGAGTCGTATATTGCAACTTTCTGAATTTGTATGGACGCTATACGTTTAAATAATAGAAAAGACGACATTCTACGGCTTCTTATTCAACCAAATTAAGGCGTCGGGTATAAATCCCAATGACTACTAATTAAATCACAAAGCTCTTTGGATACTATGAATTATTTAAGGAATTTTTGTTTGTTTAGCGATCCCTAGAAACAATAAAAACCGATGTTCTTCCTGATATTCAGTACCTGGATCATGCACAAGATAGAACGGTAAATAAACAAATAGTACGCTGCAGTATACTGTACTGTAGTACACTTAGAAAACTGTATCTTGAAAAATATTTACTCGTGAAAACTCTAAAGATTTATTTTCTCTGCAGTGTTCACATTAATTTCGTTTATAAAATAAATAAACCCAAATAAATATCTTAAATAAACCACCAATAAACCCAGGAATATGTATCTAAATATCTTAAATAAACCACCAATAAACCCAGGAATATGTATCTAAATATATCCTAAATAAACCACAAATAAACCCAGGAATTGTATCTAAATTTATCCTAAATGAACCACCAATAAACCCAGGAATTGTATCTAAATATATCCTAAATGAACCACCAATAAACCTGAACCGATTGGCCCAAATATTGTGTGGGACTTCACCAATCACATGACCCCAGGGAAGGTTTATGGATGATCGAAATTTTAAAAAATAGCCTCCAACAAAATTCAAATTTATTAAATTTTGAAAATCCACAAAGTTTTTTTATGAAATCAGTTTCGTTTTTTGTTTTTGCTGTACAATGTACAGGGTGTCTCAAAAAACGGGGAACCCGATTTTCAAGATTGAGACCATTTTTTGAATCTCTTTACAATTTCTGGACCCAATGAGACCAATTTTAGGCTTGTAGATTCAAAAATGAAAATTTTAAAGGCTCCTAAAGTTTCCAAATTTGTTAAAAATAAAAAATAATCTCAGTTTGCACATAAGGGTCTATGTAGACTTGGATTTTCAAGAATGAGACCTGTTTTAATATCTTCATACAAGTTCCGATTCGATGAGCCCAATTTTAGGCTCGTAGATCTAAAAATAGCAATTGTACTGTAATAAACTGTAACGTAACATTGAATATAAAACCGTGCAAACTGAAATTATCTTTGACTTGTTACTTTACTCCAGTTGGAACTTTAGGCGCCTATGAAATTGCCGATTTTAAATCAATCTACAGGCCAAACATGAATTGAAATTCTTCATAGATTCTATCTTTATAATTCCTACTCGGACAGTGTAAATGCTTCAAATGTGAGCTTGAATAAAAGTTTCTATTTCTGTCACTAATTGAAGTTGAGGAAGCTCCAATTGTGAGCTTGAATAAAAGTTTCTATTTCTGTCACTAGACGGAGTTTAGGAAGCTTCAAATGCAAGCTTGGATCAAAGTTTTAATTTCTGTCACTATAGATGGAGTTGAGGGAGCTCAGTCAAGTTGAATTAAATGCCGAGGCTAGCTGGTTAGCAGCAATCAAGAAGAATATTGCTCTCCAATCCTTGTACTCTAATGTTATAAAGGTATAGTGTTTTTATGAACTAAAATCAAACCCCATATTACTAAAACAACTGTAAACTACGGTTCATTTTAACTACGGGACCGACTGTAAAGCAGCTAGAGCAAGCTGTCTAGTATTCAGTTAGACAAAATAAGGCAAAACAGGACGGTACACCAAATGAATCAGCCTCTCTAGGGAGATTGTAGTGATAACATGTTTAAAAGTTTTAGCTTAAAAATGAATATTTATGTTTAATATCTAGGAGCTCCTGAACTCGGTAACAAGGTCGGCTGGTTGGATGCTCTTTGGTCTGGTGAGTTTAACGCTTGTTAAGGGAATGCTACTCAATTCCTTGATCTATTTGGCTGAAAGGGACTGTTCTTGTAATTTCAAGTGACCTTCAGTTTAAAAGAGACATGTCCGATTCATCATGGTCCCCTTTAGAACTTTACCTGAGCTGAAAACTTTTGAATGGAATATCCTTGATCCCGATCGGTTAATTAATCTGGAAATTAATAACCAGAGAAGAACAAGCATTATTTAATCTGAGCTGGGAACTTTTGAATGGTGGATATCGGGATTGATGCTTGATCCACTCTTTTTCTTAATCTCGAGATTATAAAAGGCTTGTTCTCCTGTGTTGTTAATCTCCAGATTAATTAACCGATCGAGATTAAGGAAATCCCATTCTAAAGTTTTCAGCTCTGGTCAACAATAAGGAAGATATTAGCGTTTTTCTAGCTTAGACGGTGTTCAATTCTGACAGTTTTCGACAGTATTGCGTAAGTCACTTTAGAAAATCACAATTTTCAAAGAGAGAGAGGATTCTGGATATCGCATGCCTTCTTGATCCGACATAGTTTTTACATGCTTGATTGTTTAATACTTCTTAAATATGAAGAGAAAGAGTGATAGAAAAATGTGTGCAGGGATGAGTACAAAGCAAAGTATAAGTACATTTAAGATGCATTTATATTTATTGTTTTTCAATTTTTAATCCAATTTTCTTTTGAAGAGTATTAAACAACCCAAAACGGATCCTTTTATAAACATGGTAGAATTTGTTTTTATTTCAGGTTCTGTACGGTGATATTGGAGCATTTAATCAAGTGAAGCGAAGACGACGTGAAGTGAAACCCGCTCAGGGTCCCAGAATAGCTGATAGGGTTGCAGACATAGTTCTTCGCAACTTGGAAAAGTATAACCGAACCTGAATAACCTATATCCACATCATATTAGGAGTTTTCAAAGGAGTTAAGTCTTTGCAACAAACTAAACTTTTCTACTCTCTTTACATTCGCATTCCCATGCCGTGAACCTTAAATATTTATTAATTCTGTTGTATCAAATAATTCAAATTTTAAATATCAGTGGTTTACAGAAACAGATTGTAATTACGGGGATTAGAAAATTTAAGTTTGTTGCAAAGACTTTTTTCTCTTTACTTTACTCGAAGAACCCTACATTTTGGCTTGAAAATTTAATATATCTATTGAAAGTGAAAAACTATAAAAAAAATCTAGTTTGTTTAACCAGAGCTGGGAACTTTAGAATGGTGGATATCGAGATTAATGCTTAATATCATCTCTTTTTTTCAATCTCGAGACTAACCTGATCTTTTATTTGAATCCTGAAAAGTTTATAAAATTCAACCAACTGCAAAGTCGCGTATATGAAGCCGATAAATTTGAAATTTTGCGCACCACTTAAAGGGACTGTAAAGGAAAATTGAAAGGGGGTATAGGCTGAAAGCTAATCACTTTAGCTCTTGATCGCGACCCATGAAAGTTTTATCTGATGTTCCTGTCTCGAGAAATTGATATAAAACTGTGATAAAATTATACGAAAGTTCATATATGTAAAATTCAGAAAATCTTAAACTTAAATCACGTGACCAGAACTATCACCAATGGCAGAGCAGTATACTGGTCACGTGTCTCCGCCTGTATCACGTGACCACTTTACTGCATTGCCATTGGTGGAATTTCTGGTCAAGCAATACTAACCTATAAATAATATTATGAGTAAAATCTATAGAAAATAGAAATAACAAATATAAAATTAGAATTGGAGTAAACCTAAGTTACAATTAGCTTTCTCTGGGATATCATCGTTTTCAGGTTGGTTGCATATTTGCTGAATTTGATCTTTTTAAACCCACTACTTTTATACAAAATTGTATATATATTAATTTTCGTATAAATTTGACAAAGTTGTAAATCAGTTTCTCGAGATAGGAACATCAGATATAACTTTCATGGGTCGCGATCAAGAGCTAAAGTGATTAGCTTTCAGCCAATACCCCCTTTCATTTTTCCTTTAAAGTCCCTTTAAAATTGATATAATTAATATACAGAAACGGGAAAAACTCTTAATTTAAAAAACTGGTTTTTGATTTTTCTCTTATTTATTCAAAAAAGAGTGGATTAAGAAAGAAATCAAAAGTGTCCACATTGGATATTCGGATGAAGCAGTCGGGATTAATGGTATCCCATTCTAAAGGTCCCAGCTCAGAGCTTAAAACTTTAAAATTAATCCTAATTTCTAAATTTGTTAATTTACTATCGACACTGATGATTTTCTGCTTAATCATCTCTTCTGTCTATTCCTTCTAGATTGCACCAAACACAGTTATTTCGTAGTTCTCTCATTGATTGCGCAGTTGCACGGGCAACATTTTAAAATTTCTTGGCTTCTAATTGGCCGTCTGGAATTTTGCATAATCCACTCTATTGGTTGAATTTTATACACTTTCAAGGATAAAAACTAAAGATTAACTTAATCTCAATATCCAAAATTTTTAAGTTTTCCACTCTGAACAGAAAAAATTAGCTTTCCAACATGGTATGGCTCAATATGCAAGATTATCGTTTTCTTAAAAACGTTCTTAAAAATTTCTATTAAAGAGTAAGTCACAATGAATTTGAAACAAGCGACATTAACAATTTTAAACATTTTCGATTTTTGCGAGAACAATTTCAGACGTACTATTTTATTTAAATAAATACAAGTTTATAAACTTTGGATTTTCAAAATGTTAGCCATGTTTTTTTTTCAGATTTAAAAAGGGTTGTCAAAATTGTATATAGTGGAAAGGGCGTATTGATTCCTCATAGAACACTGCCTTTCATTAACAATTTAAATCCAAAGACAATATTTAATTCGTCTCGTATTTCCCAATTTCCTTGAAACACCCTGTAGCTAAATTGTTGTAAGTAAAACCAGGAAAGATCTCAAACTGAATAGTATTATTATTTAATGATATATTTAAGTGTTCGGCGTTAATATCAATACAATGAAGTCGAATTCTCTTTTTAAGTTTTGATTTCTAACAAATTTGATAAATTAAAAGTTTAGAAGCAAACAAGGAGGAGTTGTTAATTGACAGCTTTTCTATGTTTCCATGTTATGGGTATCCATGATGTTTGAAAGCTTGGTAGAGTTTACATCATAATCGAATATCGTCCAGAGCTGAAAACTTTAGAATGAAATATCCAATTGTCTGATCACGTTGCTTCTCTGGAGTTTAAATTCATGTGGAGAACAAGCAATATTTAAACTGGATATTAAGAAAAAGAGTGGTTTAAGCCTTAATCCTGATATCCACCGTTCTAAAGTTTTCAGCTCTGATTGCATTGATATATACGATACCGACTGTACTAAAATATTTATTTCATTTTTAGCAAAAGGATAGCAAAAATGATAGTGAAATTAAAAACGAAAAAATATTCTTTTCTAAATATATTTTATGTAAACTATTACTAATTATCCATGTTGAAAAATGTAACAAACAATTAGAGAATACTGAGGTCGAAACTACTGTGTCCCTGGATTAAAATTATCCCTGCAGGGTAGAACCACCACGGGATATCGGAATTTGGTTAAATTAGTCCACAGGTCTGCAAAACATGGAAATCAATCCAGAAACTCAAAAGTTTTGACTACTGTTCAATAAAAATATAAAAAATGGAAAAAGTAAATTTCTTTTGTCATGAAATTTACGGATAATTATTTACTTTGCTTTGTTTTGTTTTGCTTAATAATTATCTCATGTTGAGATTTATAAATACTGTTATGGTTGTTACTCAATATCGTTTAAATAAAGATTAAAGAAGAGAAGAAATATAGAATAATGTAAAATTGTATAATTCCACTTTCATTCTTGAAAATTTTGGTTCGCAGACTGCGAAATTAAAGTTTTGCACATTCAAGCGGAACCTATTCTCTGCGAATTGGAAAGTTCAAAATGCATCCAGTCAAGTTCAAATATACTGGATTATATATTGGAGTATACTGGAGTATATATTGAAGCATATATTTGAGTTTACTGGAGTATATTGGATTATATTGGAGTATATTGGATTATAATGGAGTATACTGGTATATTGGAGTATATTCGAGTACATTGGAGTATATATTGGAGTATATATTTAAGTTTACTGAAGTATATTGGAGTATATTGGAGTATATTGGATTATTTTGGAGTATGCCGGTATATTGGAGTATATTGAAGTATATTGGAGTATATTGGAGTATATTGGAGTATATTGGAGTATACTGGAGTATATTGGAGTATATTGGATTTTATTGGAGTATATTGGAGTATATTGGAGTATATTGGAGTATAT